CTCAATCTGCATGCCATCCCATTTACATCGTACATAGGATTACTCGTATGTACAGGGATTCTTCATGCAGTTTCCTGTATGAGAGTGAAAAGAACACAAAACTGGGAGAAACCACACCACTCTAATCTCTGTTGCCATGACAGCAGCCTTTGAGATACTGAAATGTTCAGATTGCCAGCTAAACAAAATTGTTGAATGTGAACATTTGGCTGAGAGATTAAAAGGCTAAGGGGGTTGCAAAAGGGCAGTACCTCCCACATTCCAGGCAGCCACTGAATCCAATCAAATAGCTCTGACTCTTTAACCACAGCCATTGTGAAGGCCGGATTAGGGCAATTTATCTAGATAGTTAAAACAGATTAGAGAACTGCAATTTGAAGACTATTGGCAACAGAAGTAAATGCCTACTGTACTGAGTTAATAAAGAGACCATGAGATTTTAGGACATCTTTCCACCATGCACAGAACTCTTCATAAATCAAAGCACTAACATACACACATGAAATACAGCAACCTGAACTCTCATCTGCATTTAGAAAAGGTCACAAGGCTCATTCAAATTCATCTCTAATATGCTATCTTAAAAGCAGCAATATGCATACAATATGAAATTTAATTTGTTCCTTGCCTTGAACAGAAGCCCTTGAAATTATCTTCCACTTTTAACAAGTATCAGGTGTCACAAACACCCAAATCTAATCCTCCAGCGGATTTAAATAGTACATAGCCTTCAACACGACCAAACGACAAAAAAAAAAAAAAGAGCCAGTAACAGGTCGTGGAAAGACTTAACTTCTCCCTGTGACCTCCAGCCCTCCCAGACACTTGCAGACCATACAGTTAACACTGACCGAAAAGTCTTCCCATTGCTGAACATTCATCCTGGGAAGTTGTTAAAGCAAGTAATTTAAGACAAACAGCTGACAATAAAGTCACAATCTAACACTCTGAGATTGTTCAGTGGGTGGGCAACAGGCAGTTTGCTTTATTTTTCAAGGCAGACCAGGTTATCTTTGTTTTACAACCTGTAGAATTCATCAGACTTGTAATCTCGGAGCAAACACTCGCCCCAAGGTCCCCCAGAAGGCACCTTCTGCCCTACAGACAGAAGAATTCCCACTGGCACGAGAATCTCCTTGAACCAGCAGTCAGCAAAAGACACGCTCTCCTTCCACCCTTCCTGAAGAAGAGTCATGGCCATCTACTCTGAGAAAAAGCATCCTTCATAATGTAACAGAAAATAAGAAAAACACACACCCTCATCTGATTTCTTTCATACGTTTCAACCACTCAATAAAGGAGTAGTTCACATATGAGAGCTTGCTCAGACAGGAAAGCCCCCCCAGACAGGAGACAAACTGCTCCGCTCTGTTCCAAAAGCTGCTTTGCACACACACATTTCAGCACAAGGTGCATTCCCCTCCTCCCAGCCTTCTCCTTGCAGAGACAGGCACTGCCTGTCTGCTGGCTTCTTCCTCCCTGTCCTCCACACCAGCTTCTGGGGCCTCTGGGCTGCTGCTGTATCACAGAAGCCCTCCTGTATAACAAGCATCCTGTGTCTCCAGTAAAAAGCAACGACGGAGCCCAGGTCTCTGCCAATGCCTCCTGTTTTGCCCCTCAAGCACAATCTCAGCTCCAGACAAAAGAAGTCCCTTCTGCCTTTAGACTCCAGGAAAGGAATGGTCACGAATGCCCACTGGTGTTGTGGAAAAGTGTCAGCACAATACGGGACTTGCTGGTGCTCCTGCAGCCTGAGCTATACACCCCCCTAGGCAAACACAGATCTCCATCCTGCAAACACGTGCCATCCCACTGGTACCAACACTGCTGCTCTCTGCTACAACCAGGGACAGCTCAGTCAGGGCCATCTCCAGGTCTCTCCTTCTGGGTGAGTGCTATCAACAGGAACAGGCAAAACAGAAACATTCTCCAGGTCCAACGACAGGGAGAAGATAATGAAGAGCAGTACACTCAGAACATGGTGTCTTCGGTCTAGGGAAGAGGTCTTGGTGTTTCTTTTTTTAAGGGAAATTGGAAGAACAGATGCATATCACAAATACACAGCAAAGAGGACAAAGGAGCAAAACACAGAGTTGTTGGACATTTTTTAGAGACACAGGGACACACAGAAGAGCAGACGTGGAGAGGAGCTTTGTCCTACCTTTTCTGTTTTCAGTTTCTTGATTCGCCTGTGGCTCTCCTCCTCCTCCTCTTCCTTCTTTACCAAAATAGAGTTCCCCATTAGCCCTGAATCCGGGGTATTTTTGCTCACCTCCCCCATGGCAGAGGAGGTGCATTGGAAGGGGCTGCTGCTTCCACCACCACCTCCCTTGGCCCCGAAGCCATAGAGGTGCCCAGGGGAAGCCTGGCTGCTGCCACCCCCACTGCCGTTGGGGTGGCCCTGCTGCAGGTCATGCTGCTTGTCCTTCCTGGATTTTCCCGCATCCTTATCCCTCTTGGAGCCTCTGCTGCCCGGGGCTTTACCTGGTTTCTCCTCTTTGTTTTTCCCACAAGAGGCAATGGTGGTGGTGTTGCTGGTGTTATTATTGCCGTTTGGGTTACTGCTCATGCTTTGACCCAGTGCTGAATTCATGCCAGTTGCCTCTCCAGGGCGCCCTTGGACTTCCTGCCTCTTGCCAGCACTGCTGATCTCAGGAATCCCATACAAGGCAGCAGAAGGCAGAGATTTATTAGCATCCTTAGAAGTTTTACTCCTTTTCACTTTTGATTTGCTAGTCTCTTTGTGAGAGGAATTCCCCTGGGGAGCTGAGGGCTGAACAGAAGCAAATTTTAGGCCATCAGCTAAGGCTGAGGTAGCATTTGACCCACTGGAAGTCAGACCCCCACAATCCTTGGAGCTGGTGTTGCTGCTGCTGGTGGTATTAGTAGAATTATTCATCTCAAATTTCTGTCTGTCCTTCTCCAAATCGGCATCCAAATCGATTATTAAATTCCCAACACCAATTTCCCAATCATCGCCACTGTCGTAAGTGTCAACCGCATTTGGATCCACACCTTTTCCTGCAGTAGAAGTGTTCAATGACATCCTGAAGATGAGATCTCTAGAGTCAAAATCCGATGAACTTTCCTTCGGAGATGTGAGGACATTCGTTTATCTCCGCTTGGCTCTCTTAAGTTCAACTCTTCCTGTCTTCCTCCCCAGGTGTGACTACATTCACAACCTGCAGTCCATGTCCACCTTATCCTGTGAGGAGGGGAAAAGTCGAGTATTTATTGTCTGAGTGTAACCAGAATATAATAGGATTAATAAAAAGGGGGCGAGGTAGAGGCGGTCAAAATTATTCACCATTGTCACATTTCTTCCTCAAGTTTGTTAAATGGGAGGCAATGGCTGTGATATTTTTATAGTAAGCATCTTTAATCTACTTTGCATACCAACACCCACAACCTCCCTTAAAAAGTCATGTCCAGGGGAAAAAAATAAAACATAAAACAAAAAAACAGAAAAACCAAACAAACACACCAAAAAACCCCAAAACAAACAAACACCAAAAAACCTCTAGTATTTAAATCCACAAAGCTCAGGAAATACAGTCTTAGAAGTGGTGCCTAGCTGTTGGCGCACATATTGTAATCTAACCCGTTGGACCACCACCTAGGCACGAAAGGGAGAAAAAAAAGGAAGAACACAGATTCACTCTTCACAGCATTCCATGGATTTTGTGGCTTTAACCAGACCCTTGAAGTTCTGTGACTCTCCTGTATTATCTTTTACCCCCCTTACACTAAATCTGTTGGGGTAGGGGTAGAGGGAGCGCTAAGGGAAGTGGGAAACCTCGTTTTCCTTGCCACAATACAGCTTCTGTCAAAAAACAACAACCTACAAACACAAACGTTTACTGGAAAATATTCAACTCCATAGGTTAAAAAAAAAAAAAAAAGGAAAAGAAAAGAAAAAGAAAAATGTCTTTTCTTTAAAAAAAACTCTGTAATCTCCAGACAACAGTTCCAAAAGCAGTTCTAATGTACTCCTAGGTCACACAATTCTTAGCTCTGTTAAATATAGTATTACTGACTGTACAGGAAACTGATTAAGACATACACTTTAAGTGATCTGCACCAAGGTGGCCTCAGTGACCGCAAATGAGTGTGTGTTTGACAAAGCTTAGTTAAAACGATTTTTAAAGGGATCTCTCCCTTCTACAGTCGACTGTCGAAATATTTATACATATATATTCATAATGCTTACCTTTAGTCCTTTATCATTTTTTAATTAAACCAGCAAATCAAAATGCTGTTCCCACTCGTCTCAGCAACAACTCTGTGCCTCATTTTACTTAAAGAGCAAGTGATCAAGAAGTAGAACGCAAGTATCATCTCAGCCAGTATAAATCGGTCAGTAACATATCTCCCCCTACTTTGGCACACGGATCAGAAGTCCTTTTTGTTTGTTTGTTTAGATATTTTTTCCTCCTTGTTTAAAGAAAAAAAAAAAGAAAAAATGCTGAGCCTCACAACTTTACCAGCTGGTAGGTATTATTTCACATTCAGAACTGAAGCATCAAGGACCAGATTTTTGTTTGTTTGCTTGCTTTTCCTGAATAAGCACCGAGAAGTAATAATCATCAGAGTGATTTAAAAAAAAAAAAAAAAAAATGTTTCCCCAACTTCACACTCCGTCTTCGGCTCCGGACCTGGAAGCCATCCTGATCAGTAAGTAATGATCCCATGAAACAAACCTACAGGCGCCCGGGTGTTACAAGACAGAATGTGCTAACATCGGGATAAATTAGTGAAAGGGAGGAAGGAAAAAAAGAAGAAGAAAGGACTGAAAATCTGGGCTGGATTCCGCCTGTTAGTTGGGAAGTGGCATTTTTTTCGCCCGTCCTGACAGATCTGATTTCTTGAAGTAACTTGAGGGGAAACGAGGGGAGGGAGGGAGAAGCGAGGGGGGAGCGAGGAAGAGGAGGAGGAGCGGGAGGGGGGGAATCACTGATCTGATAAACCGGTTATCAAAACATTTTGTGGGAGTGGAGGAAGGACAGCGTGCTCTCTAACGAAGTGTATTTTCCCAGGGA